GTGTCAGATCGGACACGGTTTTTGTTTTCTCCCGAGTCGAATTTGCCTAAAATGTATAATTCTTGAAACCTTTCTTTTCTATTTAATAAGAAAATACCAATAACGTTTTATTAACGATTAGTATGACAACACATAGTGTCGTGGATATTAATCATATATAAAATAAACGAAATATAAATATATTTTATGGAATTTATTATTACTACAATTTGCACAATATTGGTATTAATATGGAGGACTACCACACCTCCATATTTTGGTGACCCCGAGAGTGAACTGGTAACACACAGAAAAGAAGGTAAGAAGATCAAGACATATTTTGAAGTAGCACAAAAAAAAAAAAAATAAATTGAAGTCTCAAGAATTACTAAGAAAAGAATTTTTAAAAATATAAATAATTATTATAAATGGCTCACAACCGCCATAACTAGAAGAACATTCTAATCCTACAACTGAGACTCCGACCACGCACTTCAAGATCAACAATAACACGTGCTCAATAAATCACTTATTATCATGGTAAATAAGTCGATAATACGCACCATGCAACAGACAGGAGCAAACAATTTGGCAACCGCCCCACATACACTCAACCGCTAACTCACCAGCGAAGGGCCACATACACTCAACCGCTAACTCACCAGCGAAGGGCCACATACAATCAACCGCTAACTCACCAGCGAAGGCCACATACAATCACGCTAACTCACCAGCGAAGGGCCACATACAATCAACCGCTAACTCACCAGCGAAGTGTCAAATATACTCAGCCGCTAACTCACCCAGCGAAGGCCACATCTACTCAACCGCTAACTCACCAGCGAAGGGCCACGTAAGCAATCAACAAACTCAACAAGCCACACGGCAATTTATCACACAATCTCAACCAAAGAAAATTTACAAGGAAGTTCAGAATGGCAGTCAGAGATGCGAACAATCTTTTTCATTAGGGCGAGTGATGTAGCGGGTTGCCAACAACCCATCGCGGCTTGTCAACACGCATCACATGTTACTGGACAGATTGGCCTTATATTGACAGCACAGAAAAAACAAAAATAAATTCAAGTGTCAGATCGGACACGGTTTTGTTTCTTCCCTTCAGTCGAATTTGCCTAAATGTATAATTCTTGAAACCTTTCTTTTCTATTATAAATAAGAAATACCAATAACGTTTTATTAACGATTAGTATGACAACACATAGTGTCGTGGATATTAATCATATATAAAATAAACGAAATATAAATAATATTTTATGGAATTTATTATTACTACAATTTGCACAATATTGGTATTAATATGGAGGACTACCACACCTCCATATATATATATATATATATATATATATGAGTAAGTTCTTCAAGGGCATACATCAAATAAAAGGCAAAGATTTAGAAGTTAATCTTTAATTTTTCCAAACGTTTCGACATAGTATTTTATGTCATCATCAGTGGATATAAATATGGTCTTACAATCAGTAGCTAGCGCAAGGAACATAATTTTGCACTATCATATACATTAACTTGTCTTTTTATATTATTTTGTTGAACAGAGTATAGCAAAATATTTGTGAAATATATAATATATTTTGCACAGAGAACGTAGTTTATGTGACAGAGCCCGAGGCTGTAGTCGACTACAGCCTCGGGCTCTGTCACATAAACTACGTTCTCTGTGCAAAATATTATATATTCACAAATATTTTGCTATACTCTGTTCAACAAAATAATATAAAAAAGACAAGTTAATGTATATATGATAGTGCAAAATTATGTTCCTTGCGCTAGCTACTGATGTAAGACCATATTTATCCACTGATGATGACATAAATACTATGTCGAAACTTTGGAAAAATTAAAGATTAACTTCTAAATCTTTGCCTTTTATTGATGTATGCCCTTGAAGAACTTACTCATATTTCTCAACATCAAAATAACTACTTTAACATATATATATATATACAATACATGTATACATATTTCCATATATATGTATATATTCTCTGATTACTTTTTAGTAAAGCAAACACAGACTTCATTTTTGGGCGTGTTGAAAGCCTATCCTATATCTAAATACACATTAATTTGGTAACATTAAATAATTTTTATAACGAGTTAACGTAGCCTAAGTAAACTTAGAAATTTAACTAACAATTATGTTATTATTTTCCAATTAAGTGGCTTGTGTACGTTACTAATTTTTGATACATATATTTAATATAAAAACTCCTATACCCGTAACGAAGTGTGATATAAGCCTTTATTAACAAGGATATATTATTTAAAATTTCTTTTTGTTAACAGAGATGATTCAAAAGGTAGGAAAGGTGTTAAAAAGAGATTAATTCAAGAGAATAAATATAGTAAACCTTCTGCTTTAGCTGATATTAACGAAGACTGGACACATGTGTAAATTAAATTCCATCTCTACCTGGAGCCATTTATATTTATACCATTTATATTTTGTTATATTAACTATAAATCACAGAAAGTTACAAGATAATTACTAGCAAAAATTAATAATTAATTGATTGACATTTTTTTTCTTAATTATATGATCTCCAAGAGCTTAAAACTGATGTAACTAAGAAGAAATTTAGGGCTTACAACATATACGTATATCAAATCTGAGTAAAATTCAAAATGTGTATGTAAATATTGGCAATTTTGAATAAACTAGTGGGTATGGCATCGTGCCTTTAGGCAAATTGCTGGAACTTCCGTATTGGACGAAATGTTCAAGAATATTATATGTTTTTATTTAATATTTCTATGCACTCTTTGCTCCATATCTCTGTACCGCTAGATCTTCCTTTGCCAAAAACTAATCAGCATATCTCCCTATCAATAGGAATCAAATGTTTTTTGCGTCAGAAAACATGGACGAAAAAATGTGGGCATACAAAACACACACCACACACATCAATTTTTTCTGAGGTATTTCTGGTAAATATAAGTAATTTACATTCAATTACAATATTATTATTAGCAGTAATTAAATGCAACCTAATATGCACTTTCGCCTCGGCAATGGACCCAATGCCATTGATTTGACTGGAATCCGCGGATTCAATGCAACTTGCAATTATATTATATATCTCGTATATATTACCCATCGCTGATTCATCTGAATATTTATAGTATCACATAATACATCGATAGAATGATTCATTGGGCCGTCAAATTAATAGCTTCAAGGAAACTAACTTTTATTCATAGAGTTTGTTATACAGTTGCTTTTATTGATTATTTGTATAAGTCCATTCATAAGAAAGCAAGTGATTTTTTATGTCGAAGTCATAATAAAGTGATTTTGATTTGTATGCACCGTGCACATGGGAAAGGTGCTGATAGCCGCATCAGAGATGTAGAGAAATTAATGGCCAAAAATATTTCATATAGATATTAAAATTATTATAATATAATATACATTTTTTGTCTAAATTTTGATGTAATCAAATTTCTAATATTATCAAACAGTCAAAATATATACTATATATAATTTAAAAAATAGCCTCCCAACAAACATTGTTTATACTATTTCAGTAAACCTTTCGAATATTATTAAGGAAATTTTAATTTATCATTCTATACTAATGAACAAGAAATTCTTGAAATGACTAGATTCAAGACTTTCTAGATTCTAGACTTCCCGTATCAAAAATTATTTTTTTTAAAAAGATTAACATTTTGGAAAAAAAAAATTACTATGAAAAAATTAGATTTTTAAGAAACTATAAACTTTTGACAAAAACTTACTTTTTTTTGAAGAAAAATTTGTTTTGAAATATTTTGGAAATTCTAAACTTTTTTTCAAAGCAATCGTACTGTTTTAACTGCATAGAGACGAAATATCGAAGCGCATAAGCGCCGCGTCGCCGTCTAACGTATAAACACTGGTACGGAACCCATAGGAATATAAACAAAATTTATACTTATTGTTAAAATCTTTATAAAATGTCTGATAATTTGATGTGCATCTGTCTAATGATCATTTTTGACCGCCAAATGGCGTCATTTTTTTTTTACTTTTTTTACTAGATTTCCGGAACTACTAGACCTACCTCCATGAAAATTTGATCAGTTCTTAATCTTGTTAATACAATTGTTCTATCATCTTGTTAAGTAAAAGATTTTCTGAATTATTCAAATCGGACGCTCCGTTCTCTTAAAAACTGAGTTACCTTTTTTGGCACTTTTTTGCCCTATATATTCGGAACGGCTAGACCTGCCTTTGCCAAAAACTAATCAGCGCGTCTCCATATCAATACAAATCGAATGTTTTTTGAATTATTCAAATCGCTCCATCCGTGTTCCCGAAATCGTCGATGAAAATTGTAACCAAACACACACACATACATACACACACACACATACATCCATTTTTTCTAACTTAAGGTATGCCAAAATGTTCAGAAACTTCTGAAACGTAAAGATATATAAAAAAAATATTTTCGATTTTTTTGCCATTACTATAACTTGCCCTACGGGAAGTTAAAAATCATAAATTAAATCTTAAATAAATGAATGGGTATGTGAATATACGTATGACATAGTTGTAAGAGTAAGGTATCAATAAATAAGTACAAGATTAAATTTTTTTATTCATTTTGTAGCAATATAAGAATATACATATTATTATTTTATACTATTATCGGTTCCGTACTGCATATACCATTGTCAAATAGTTTGCTCACAAAATACTATAAAAAACGTTTTATCTTATTAAGTATTTAATTATTATTAAGTGACCATGTATGATTTTCTTTGCAATAATTAAAGTTTTCATTTTTATGCAATATTTATGATTTACCTAATACCTGTTAATAAAATTAGAAATCTATCGGTTTGCACAAAGGCACCTATCATGCTCCACTAACTTTTGTTATTTTCTCTGACTATACTGGGTTCATGTATCTTAAGTTCAATCGAAGATCAAACCAAAAACCAGTCCATAATCATCTTACCACCAAAGGCAATTTAATAAACCGAATCCAGGTGAACATAAAACAGTAAGCAATTTATCAGTGACAAGAAAAATATCTTATTTAATTCTGCTTTTCTATAGGAAATGGACATCGCGTCGCTTTCAATAAGATTACAAATTTAAATGATTATCTTGCAATCATCAGTCACTCTGGACGTGCATCTGATAATAGTAATAAATATAGAGCTAGCAGGTAATTTATTTTGTTTTAAATAAATATTTCAGTTAATTATTTTTGGCAAAATTATGCAGCAAAGTTATAAATTATGCAGCAAAGTGATCAACCCCATCAAATGCATCTGTTATAAATGTTGTGCCAATGTAGTTAATAAAGGCAATAAAGCTATAAATCGAATATTTTAGGAAAAAGATCGCTGTAATCATCAAAAAAATTTATACCATTTAATTTAAAAATTAACTTTTTTTTTCATTCTAATATACAAAAGGCTTGTACTGGAAACTAGTTAAAGTTATTAAGTTTTTCTTAAATTAATGTATTAAATTATAAATTTAATGTATATCTTTGATTTTAGGATTTGACACATTGATTTCCATTGTACTACAGGATCGGCAATAAGTCATTTGTATATGTATAGAATATATAATTTTTTTTTAATGCAATATAGTAGGTATCTTCAAGAATTATAGTGCATGACTAAAAGTAGTATCAGAATAATTTTGTGCAAAACACTTATCTTGCCGTAAAGATAAGATTTTTGATTAGTAATAATATTTTATTAAATTCTGAGCCTAATAATTCAAGTCAAAATTATTTCAACAATTTAAGCCCTTCAATTTTTATGCTATAAAATAATGCCTTATTATGTCAATTGAAAAAATAAGTTTTGTAAACTACAAAATTGTCTAATAAAGTTTATATTACCATCAAAATTACATTCTAGAATATAGCTCCGTCTCTAAATAAAGAAATTCACTTACATCCTAACTCTCACTTGTAACAATTATTAACTTGTCTAACAATAAGATTTTCTATAGTCATCAGTGCTAATGAACTAATAAAGGAAGAAATTGCATTCTTTAAAAATAGTTTTAGATTCATTTCCTGTACATACCTTTGTGCTAAGTTATTAAATTCAACCTGCTACACAATTGTGTATATAATATAAATGAAACAGTATCGAAGCATAAATATAAACATAAATTAATTGGATATGGATTGTACGTAATAAATCTCATATTTTCTTTTTGAAATAAAGATCTCAAAACATGATTGAATTAATTATTCTGGTAGATTCGTATATGTAATATGAATATAAGTTTTCTCAACTTTTCAAATTGGAATTGACATTTTCTTTTGAACGAAAAATATGCAAATTCTTAGAAGCCTTAGAAGAAAATACTATTAAGGGGGCGTCCAATAATCACGTGATCGATTTTTGGTGATACGTAGTGGTATTCAAAATTACCCCCTCCCCCCAAACATCACGAGTATTTTTAGTTCCAAGGAAAAATGTTTTTTTTTTATTTTTTGAAAATGTTTGAATTTTTTTTTAATAATAAATACACGTGATATCTTACTATACCCTCCTTACTCCACATGATATTTTGTGATTTTTGTCAACCACCCCCCCCTCCCACTGAAAACCTCACGTGATGGACGCCCCCTAAAGACATTCCCGTAGTTCATCGTCGGATCATAATCTAAGTTTAAAAGATTATTTTGATTTTTTTAAATTTTTTTTTTGATAATTCTTCGAAAAATTATCTTTTATTTTTAAAATAGTATATATGTTTTAAAAACTAAGTATTATATAATATTAAGATTTTTCTTAAATCACTCCCAAAGTCGAGTTAAATATCAGTTAAAATACTGTTGACATGTTGAGATGGTACACATAAGGCTTTTTAAAATGGTTTTCAGAAGATTCGATATATTTGTAGTAAACGAGCAATAACTTTTTGATTTTAGTTTAAACGCAACTTTCAATCTGAAATATGCTCTTACTTATTTTGAAGAATTAAAATATATGGCTATTAATGTTCTCAACAGTTCAGCTGAGAATGATAACAATAAGATAATCCAGCTCCAGCTTTACTGGATCTTTTTCAAGACAAATTCTAATTGTGGAGAAAAACTACAAGTTGAAAATAATTCATGAAAATACATATTTATATTTATATTCTAAGCCTTAATCTCCCTTTCAGCACTAGCGGTTTACATTTCATAACATTACTACACGAGTGAACTTTATGCACTTCTGACTGCATAAGTAAAAGCGTTTCTTATTCTTACATAAGACTTGTACGCATGATATGATCTAACATATAGGATATTTATAAGTAAAATAACACACTGGCATATAAATATCAAAATATATTTATATGTGCAAATATTTCACCAAAATTACTAAATAAATGAAGTAAGTCGAGTTCAAGTTAGAAACTCTCCAAAAATTTATAGCTAT